TCACAGTACTCATTAGGATTAATTTTTGAACTTAAATGATTTGGTTCAACCAATTTCCTAAATGGTTTGAGTTACCTTAACTTTTTGGGGTTTACAGTGTACTAATAAACAATTGATATGCACTTAAAAAAATTCAGTTTGTTCAAACTACTTATTTAAAATGAGTTGAAACAACACAAATCTTGAGTTTTTTGGACAACTTAATTGTTTTATGTTCAATCTACTTACATTTGTAATGTAAGCTCAGTCAATTTTTGTTAAATTGTATGTATGCCTGCATTTTTGCAGTGGAATGTTGACGGTCAGATCATTTAGCGGTTACATTAACTTTATGAGATGTGAATTGAAGACAAGACAATGCCGGTTTATTATTGTATTACCATATTGATTGGCATCAGTGGAACATGCGCTAGAGTATACTGAGTCTAGGAATTAATTCATTCAATTAATGACATATTATAGGAGTCACAGTGCAGCTCTGAAATACTAAATAATATAAAAATCATTAAAAATAAAATTAATTATACTTTGCAGTTATAGACCAATTTGAGGGATGTAAACAATAACAATGGTCCTAACGTATTTCCTGGTTTGCATTTTTAATCTTCATAGCTTCCGGGTATCCAAAAAAGTCCACAAATTGATAAATAAAGATATGACAGCTGTTTTAACGTTCGGTTATGATAGAATCGCCTCTTGTTACAGTTATGAAATAGTTCTACGACAAGAAGGACATGTTCATGGGCCAGTAATATCACCACATTACAATGGTCTATACTTAAAGCCACTAGGTTTTTTAATTATTTGAAGGATTTAACATATCATAAGATTTTGTGTGATCACTTATTCTTTAATGTATTTTAATAATAAGTACATTAAAATAATTGTGTTTAAAGTAAATAAGTTTGCCACATATGTTTGACACATTTAAATATTTTATTTTTTTACAAACAATTCTATGTACATAAAATCACTTTTGTGAATAGCTTGAGGCAGATATTAAAGTCATTTTAAGGACCTTTATTATTAGTATAGATTCAATTAATAAAATATTATTTTAAAAAATATTGTTGTTGAATTTATAAGCGATTTTTAGCTTTGACCGTTCTAAATATGAACAATAATATTACATTTCATCTGCCACTTTATTAGGTACACCTGTCCAACTGCTTGTTAATGCAAATTTCTAATCAGCCAATCACATGTCAGCAACTCAATGCATTTAGGTATATAGACATGGTCAAGACGATCTGCTGCAGTTCAAACTGAGCATCAGAACGGGGAAGAAAGGTGATTCAAGTGACTTTGAATGTGGCATAGTTGTCTGTGACAGACTGGTCTGAGTATTTCAAAAATTGCTGATCTACTGGGATATTCACACACAACCATCTGGTTTATGGAGAATGGCCAGAAAAAAAGAAAATATTTAGTGAGTGGCAGTTCTTGGGGCGGCGGGGCCGCAAATGTCTTGTTGATGGCAGAGGTCAGAGGAGAATGGCTAGACTGGATTGAGCTGATAGAAAAGCAACAGCACTCAAATAACCACTCGTTACAACCAAGGTACGCAGAAGCGCATTTCTGAACGCACAACAGGTTTAACCTTGAGGTGGATGGGCTACAGCAGCAGAAGACCACACAGGGGGCCACTCCTGTCAGCTAAGAACAGGGAACTGTGGCTACCATTCGCACAGACTCACCAAAATTGGACAATAGAAGATTGGAAAAACATTGCCTGGCCTAATGAGTCTAGATTTCTGCTGCAACATTCGGATGGTAGTGTCAGAATTTGGCCTCATCAAAAAGAAAGCATGGTCCTTCCTGCTTTGTATCAACAGTTCAGGCAAGTAGTGGTGGTGTAATGTGGGGGATATTTTCTTGGCACACTTTGGGCCCATTAGTACCAATTGAGCATCATGTCAATATATAATTTTACTATTTTCTCTTCTTTGTTACACTGTGATTTTTCAAGTAATGTTAATTAACTAAATACTAATATAAAGTTAACTATATGCTGTTTTTGGTTTGTTGAACCTTATTTGCATGATTTAATATTATTACAACAGTAAGTAGAATTAATTTTAAGGACAATGTAACTTCACCACATATAAACATAATGCTTTTTTGAAACAAAATATTTAATTCAACTAAAATGATGCCAAAACACTTAGCTACTAACATTGTCCAATTCAAAAAGCCCAAATGATGTCAGCGGAAATCTTAAAAACACTAAACAAATCGTGCTTCCTTTAGAATAACAAGTCGTTTACAATCAAACCTGTATTATGAGCATTTAAAAAGAAAATAGGCTCTATTTTGATTTCATATATGCGCTGTGATTGCAGCGATTTTGTAAAGCACTAAAAATACTAATCTCATTGTACCTGCACAATTACGAAAAAGAGTTTGAAGCTGAGAAAGAAAGCGGAAAAAGGTTGAACTGATTGACTCCGCGTCCCACAAGCTCATTGTCACCCACAAAAAAGCTAAACACACCCGTTTCACACACCAGCACACGCAATTTCTCACAATCTCTCCTCTGAGCTCATACACACACAAGTGTATAAACAAACGCGCACACACACTGATTGGAGATCACTCAGCTTGTGTAAAGTGAAACAGGGACAGCGCTCTGGAGAGCTGCGAGTGTGAGATTGCTAAACGCTGATATACAGATGTGTGTGTGAGTGGAAAGAGAGAGAGAGAGAGAGAGAGAGAGAGAGAGATAGTGAAGTGTGTTAAGAGAATAACAGCTGCTGGGAGGATCACATGGACTCCTGCATTCTGTGCTTCAGTGGAGAGAAATGTGGTTTAATTAGCAGTAACCTTTTCGCTATCCAGAGACCAGCTCATCACATGGTCAAACACACACAGAAAAAGAGAGAGAGTGGATAAAAGGCGGTCATCCTCGCCACAAGGGCAGGAAGTTTCAGTGTGACAACCAGCGGCTGTTTGCATCAAGGTGAGTCAGTGTTTATGAGAAATTAAAGCATGTCATTTTAATAAATCTGTAAAAGTGCTGAGAGGATGCATGGGTTAGGGGTCATCTAATCTTTTCATTGCAAATGGTATTAAAGTCATAACAGTGTGTTG